AACTGGAACACAACTCAAGAGAGACTAAAACTGAGAAGATATGATGAGAGGGGGGAAAAATAAGAAATGCTCTCAAGAGAGAAGAAAGGAGAAAGAGGATGCAGGGAGATAATCTTATAATATTCTTTTTTTCTGGGCTATATTTAGTCCTGAATCATGTTTAGCTACCAGACCAGTGGCTACAATGGGAGGGGAAAAAATAGTGAAAAGTATAGCACAATACTGGCAAAGTTAGGAGAAGAAATGAAGAAATATATGGAAACAGACACTACAGGAGGGAAGGGAGAGAAGCAAGCGATGAAACAATAAACATGCAAATGGAAGGTAAAAAAAGAGAAGAAATGGAGAGAACTGGTGGAGGAGACGAGAAACGAGATTGAGAATTTGCCAAGAGGTGAAAGAGGAGGAGGGAGGTGTAGCTGCACAGATGTAAAACTCAATGTTCCATACCGTCTGAGGGTTTTCACCTATAACAACTGAAAGGTTTAACAGAGAGAGGGGATCGATACAGATCCTGCAGGTTCTGGTTGTTGTGGTTCACACGATTTAAAAACAGCTGAGCCAACACGATGGTGGAGGAAAGTGTCAAAGAAAAAGGAGAACTGAGCAAAAGGGAAAGAAAAGACATATTCATTGCTTTAAGCATGCAGATTACTGTGCGGGGGAATTTGCATAAACATGCTTCTTGATTTCCGCCCCCATTGTTTATGATTAATGGGATTAGGGTTTGCCTTTGCGTGCAGATCTGAGGATGTAAGAGCAGCTAATTGCTGGTCTCGTCTACAAATTAGAAGTTGCCACGTTGGTTGTTTGTTTCGGTGAGGATTTACTCGAAAGGAATGAAGCCATCGTTTCTCCTGCTGTTTTGGGGAGGAGCAGAGAGTACCTGATATGTCATTTTAGAAGATAAAGATGTGGGGGGAAATTGAAAGGAAACAAGAGTGGAGGAGAGGAGAAACAGATTGAATTTCACGATGCACAACCGCATTAAAGCCATGAAACACATGGAAAGAAGAGGAGATGTTGTGTCTGTGTGTAATCCTCAAGAGAGCAAAAGAAAAGCAAGATAAAGAAACAGCAAAGAAAGCCAAAAAGCAAAAACAGAAAGTGACCAAAAGCAAAACAAATTTAAACAAAAGAAACTATACTGTAACTCTAATTTTAAAAAAGTTTAGATGTTGAGTCAAATGTAAATAAATAATAAAGTCCAACGGTTTGAAAATATAATAAACTCATATTTGATTCACAGAGTGAAGTTTAAGATGAAGGCCACTTTTGCAAAATCAGTGTTTTACATCAGGGGTGTCAGTTTTAGTTACAAAATGATGCCAAAATTCAAAACCTGATCAAAGTCAAGATATAATTT